GTCATGAAATACTCAAGTTCAAAAAAACAGAAAAAAGAAAAAAGAAATACTCAAGTTCATGAGATATGTCCCCATAGAGAGAACATGTTTTATTTGAGGAATAAAGTTGTGGAATATGCAAACTTATAGGGATGTATACATACCTTGCTGCTTCAGGGTCAACATAAAACTCTCCACTCTCTGGGCCCCTGGCCATAGCCTGGCCCAGGATGAACATAGGCTCTCACCACTGACCAGAGTTTCTCAGCTGAGTAGACTTCCTAGTAGACTTCAAAAGGTCAGGATTCAAATCCAGGTCCAGCAGAAGGAGCTTGCTGCCAAGCTCAAGGACCTGGGTTTAATCCCTGGGACCGACTTCATGGGAGGAGAGAACTGATCCCTGAAAGTTGTCCTCTGACCTCCACAGGCACACCATGGTATGCCCACACTAAAGAATAAAGACATAATTAATAAATAGATAAGTTGAAAACCCTCCATGTCTTCTCAAGTACTCTTATGAGCATGTCCTCCTCAGCAGCGACAAGCTCACTGAATAACAGGACCCCAGAGACTTAATACAGATTTAGAGAAAGTCACAGAGGGTGGATTGTTGGCAGAGAGGCCTCACTGAACTGATGTTTCGGTGAAAAGACTTGATCTCAGAGAACTCTGGGGGTAAGGGAAGTGGCCCATGGACTGAGTTGTCTCCACTCCATCCCTATCCACCATGAGTAGGTGCTAAAAACAATGCACCTAGAATTCGAGCTGGGCCTAGATGGAGATGATGAAAGTCAACTGAGTCCAGAAGTATCAGTGTCCTTCTGGGAAGTGGCAGAAACTTGAGAGCCCACTCTCTCCACGCAGAAGAATGGCCCTGGGGAGGTAACGAAAGTATGGAAGAGAGCCCTCAACAGAACCTAGCCATGTTAACATCTGATGTTACATTTCCAGCCTCCATAACTGTGGGAAAATACGTGTCTAAGGTGTGTGTGTGTGTGTGTGTGTGTGTGTGTGTGTGTGTGTACAAAGAGGCGTGGTTATGGTTATGTAGGTCAGAGGTTGATGGAAGGTGTCTTCTTCAATGCCCTCCACCTTGGTTTTTGAGACAGAGTCTCTCACTAACCCTGTAGTTCCAGATTTATCTGTGGCCAACAGGCCCTGGGAATCCCCTTCTCTCTACCCTTCCAATGCCGAGATTACAGTTGCACACCACTGCACCTGGCTTTTCATGTGGGTGTGAGGGTCTGAAGTAGGTCGTCATGTTCACATAGTATTCTCTTGACCAGCTGAGCCATCTCCACAGCCCTACATGCCTGTTTTGAGCCATCTGGCCACTAGTATTTTGTTTGTGCAAGATGAGCTCTAGGAATGTGCATCCAAAGAACGTGTCTAAGTAGGGAGGGATGAGGGCAAGTGAATCCCCAGAGCAGTGCGCATGCTGGGCGGGGGCAAGGGGGGGGAGCAGTGTGATGCAAACGCACCCACAGCACAGGCCAGGGAAGCCCTGTGGGGCTCTGATCAGAAGCAGTGGAAGTCCATCACCTCAAGGAGTAGGAGGGACTCAGCAGTGGGGATGTGGTACCAGGAAGCCCAGGGAAGATGCTAAGTTCATGGGGATGCTGTGTTGTACTAATGAGATCAGAAGAGGGCTAAGAGGATTAAATAAAAGGTGATCATTGGTGGCCTTGATCAAAAGAAGTCAGGGAATCGGTGAGAAAGTGGGTAAAGGGAGAGTAAAAGGAGCGAGCCGTAGGCATCACTCTAGAGGATTCTTTTGAAACACTTTACTGTGAAAATGGTCCTGTTGTTACGTGGAGAAATTTAGGGAAAACAGAAATGGAAGAGGAGGGGTTGGAAAGGAGGGAAGGACAATAAAGAGAAGTCAGAAGTCAGATAAAATGTTATTAAAGCACACAAAGCTCCCTATACTGAGTGGACCCCAAGAGGGTTTGCCAAGGCCTGGGTAAATTGAACAAAAGGAAGCAGTATTATGCTCATAAAATGGGCCCCTAGAAGACATGCAAGCGGGAAGTTCTATAAGGAAGTCACCTCCTATCCGGTGGACAGCACCTACAGCATTTAAAGAAGGTTGTGTGGTCAGCATGCAACGGCAAGGTGCTGTGCACTGTGAAGGCAGTCGATCCACACTGACAGCAGATGCGCAGGTGACAAACAGGTCAGGAGAAGACAGAGGCTAGCCCCTTCTTTCTCAGTCTCACCACTCAGCCTCTCATTCATTCTCCCTGTCTGCGGTTGCTCCCTTCTCTTTCTGTGTTACTTTATGAACTTTCCTTACAGCTGTTTGAAACAGCGTCATGTGGGTACTCAGTATTTGTCATTTAAAGAAACATTATAAAATGGAAGAGGGAGGGGCTGGAGAGGTGGCTCAGTGGTTAAAAGCACTGACTGCTCTTCCAGAGGACCCGGGTTCAATTCCCAGCACCCATGTGGCAGCTCATCTGTAACTCCAGTTCCTGGGGACCCAACACCCTCACACAGTCCTACATGCAGGCCAAACACCAATGCACATAAAAATAGAAAAAAAAATGGAAGAGGGAAAGCAAATCCCACCATAAGGGAAGTAGGGGAGGCCCTCCAAACACAAGGTCAGAGGAAAGAAGGAAGTAAAGGAATGAACAGCACACTTTATAGTGATGTTAGTATTCAATTAGACTTCATCCAATCTCATTGATAATGATGAGGAAAATGAAGACATAAGGACAAAGGACAATTCACCAAGTTGTAGCAGTGTAGAACCTCAGTGTGCGCAACAACAAAGCCTGAAGGCGGTGCAGCGTCTCATATCCAGATGGCTTGGGTTTGAATCCCAGCTCTAGAATTATTTATGAGCTTCAGTCGGCCTTAAGGGAGTTGTTTAAACACCCTGTGCTGGCAGGTTTCCCATACTGACCACTGAGATGCTAGTTATAACTTTTAACATGGTTGTGTTAAGGACACCAGTGTAATGTTGATAGTTCCTGGCATCATGAACTCTGACATCATTGTTGTTCATAGTATTGCCTCAAATCATGAAAAGCAAAAACAGGATCCCAAGGTCCCAAGGAAAATCAGCACATCAGTGATCTTGTTAGGAGATATTTATCTTCCTTGTCTCCCTAAAAATATATGTCTGAAAATACCTGAGAAAGAAAGAGATAGCTACAATAAAGTGTTTCAACAAGCTGTTCTATCTTCAAAGTCATTGCGGAATCATCCAACATAATAAATAAAACACAATCTACCTAACACAACTGGGAAATAGAAAGGAAAAAACAGATAAAAAATAAAACTAGAAATCATAAAAATGACAGGCGTTAAATCAGGCACAGCTATACCTATAAATGACTTAAGTTAACATATGAAAATACAGTCTTAGATCATATCAAAATACAAAAGCTGATAATTATATAGGTCACGCCTGCAAGTACAATGTTCTAAAAAAAAAAATAAGCTAAATATAAGTTTCTGTAACAAAGAATGACTGTGATCAGTGACATGGGATTTTCTTATATATACTTAAAAATACAAGTAAAAAATGTATAGGAATTAACTATGAATCAGGTGACAAGGTAAAATTATAGGTAATGTTGTACCATTTGTATCCAAGCGATATAGCAGTAAATTTCCCATAGTGTGCAAAATATCACTCCAAAAACACTGAAATGTGCAGAGAACCTTAAAAACACCATTATTCAGCAGCTATTCCATACATCCTTACTGGAATCAAATAAACTGTGTAAATTGACAAGGAGTGGATAGCAGAGATGAGCCTGTAGACTCCGGAAGGCTGAGAGGGAAAACATCTTGTTACTATGGGGGCATTTCTTGAGGGTCACTTAAGTAGGTGATCATAGGAAACTGGGTGATTGGTAAAGAAGTGGAAACAGAGAAATTGGCACTGTTCTGGGATAGCCACTTCCGTCTGCAGCATAGATGAGTGTGTCTGTGTTGAGTCACTATCACACTACCACCTTGCCAGTGGTCAGTCTGGCTCTTCCACATGGTGGAGAGCTGGGCAAAAGCCAGTCTCTTCCATGTGCATGATTCCCTACCCACCTGCTGAGTCCTCTGCCCTAGAATTTAGTCCCCACTCCCCAGCTGTACCCAGTGGTGCTGGAGGTCGCTGTGAGGGTCTGGCAGGAAGCCATGCCGTGACATTGGGGGTGAGGGATGCAGCCCAGGGGGCACAGACACAGCTCTGCTCCTAAAGAAACAGGCAAGGAGCCAGGCGGTGGTGACGCATGCCTTTAATCCCAGCACTTGGGAGGCAGAGGCAGGCGGATCTTTGTGAGTTCAAGGCCAGCCTGGTCTACAAAGCAAGTTCCAGAAAAGGCACAAAGCTACACAGAGAAACCCTGTCTCGAAAAACCAAAAAAAAAAAAAAAAAAAAAAAAAAAAAAAGGCAAGGGAGACTGATATGTGTATTAAAAGATCCACTTAGGATTGGAATATGAGTTATTCACTCCCTTGTCTTCTTGGTGGCACCAGTATTATACTGTCACCCATGTTCCAGGAAACCATATGTGACCCTAACTGCCTTATTGGCTAGTTATTGACGTTCATATATATTCCCCATTAGGTTCTTGTTAGAAATTTACATACCAATCTATTTAAACTGGTTTGGGTTTTCTTTCATTTTGTTCTTACACTTGTGTTTTCAATGTGCCTATCTTGAATTCCAATCTGAACATTCAAGATCAAACTTGGCCCAAATGGTGAAACAAAAATCAAACAAACAAACAAAAACCCTAAGGAAATCAACAAATTATTAATGTGCTCCCAATGCAGATGTCATGTGACCAAGGCACACCCGATGGTTGAGATTTGAAAATTGACAATGTTACCCTCGTTGCCAAGAGATGAAAAGCATCTGGCAGACTCTGGTGGGTGCAGGGGTCAGTTACACGTCCATGAAGGACTTGAGAGTCTTCTTCCCCCAAAGCAGGGGACAAAGCTGCATGGTGGCCCAGGACACCCTGCTCCCCCATTGTTCTCACATGGTGTTTCTCCTCTGCTTCCAGGTGGAAATTGAGAAGCTGGATTACCATCATTACCTGCCTCTGTTTTTTGACGGGCTTTGTGAAATGACGTTTCCCTATGAGTTTTTTGCTCGGCAAGGAATCCACGACATGCTGGAACACGGGGGGAACAAGATTCTACCTGTCATCCCACAGCTCATTATCCCGATAAAAAGTAAGTGAACAGGTAAAAAAGCGTCACTCTGTCTCACACCGCCACGTTTGACAACTTGCTAATTAAGCAGTAAAACACAACAGACCGAGATGATCCCCAGGCTGGTGGGAATTTTTATAAATTGGCTTATGAGGCCAGACAACTGAAATCTCTGAAAATATTTCTCATCACTAATACTATACCAGGACTTAACCACAAACAAAACAAATCACGTGAGAGTCATGCTAATTTGAGATATTGCATGGCTGTGATGTAGTGTTCAGACACTAACTTGTCCATTCAGGAGTAATGTGTGTGACATTTTATGTGTCCTCTACCCAAACCCCAAGTTCTTGTTAAACAGCACCTCTAGTTTTTTAAGTTAAATGGAAATACAGTTTTGCCGAGTGTCTGTGAGGTAGTAAGAGTCGTAATTTCAGGATCTGGAATGCAGAAAATAGTTTTTAGCACAGGGACTTTTGAATCCACAGTGGGTTCCTGCAGTGACTCTCAGAGACAAGGACCACTAGCATTTCTGTTTACACCGCGAGAACATGTTCCTTTCTGCAGTTTGCTCAGGCATGACTGCCTCCAGCTTGCCAGAAAGCAGCCTCTCATGCAGCTTGCTGAGGTGTTCTGGGAGCTCTCCAGGCACCAGATAAGGTTTTGGTTGCTCTCCGTCTTGTTTGTCTGCCTATCTTCTGCTAGCCCTGGTAATAGAATCACCATAGGCCAGCCTGGTGTTCACCATGGAGACCCAGAGAGGTCTACCTATCCCCAGACGGAGAATCAGGCCGTCACCTCTCACCAGTCACCACATACCCAGTGCGGTTTGCTGTGCCTTTCACTGTCACTGCTGATTAAAATCAGGAGGTCGGAGCCTCTGAGAACTCCACAGAGGATGAAGTTCTGTCTTTTCCCTGCCTTGAACCACCCCAGGTATTCCCACCTCCCAGCTTTGGACTCAGCTGGCCCACGGCTCGAACAGGGTGACAAGGACCTTGCCTCCCCTCCTAACATGCTGTATCATCTCTTATCCAAGCCAATGGCTTCCCAAAGACTGGAAGGCCCTTTCCTGGGCTTCTAGGCTTTCGGGGCCCACCTTGATTGTCTCAGGTGTGCTCTGGCCACGTGGTGTGACCAAAGTGAGAAGAAAAGAGATCCGCACGGGGACCACTACCCAGCGCCTGGGGAACTTGGTTTTGCTCATGGTCATCTTTTGTTGATTTGAAGTAAGTAAGCAGCATTAAGATTTGGGACTTGAGTACTTCGGCATTCAGCTCTTATCACTATTCACAGAGTCAGCTCTGGAATTTTCTGGGCTGGCTTTGAACTTCTGGAGAGATGGTAATATACCAGCACACTTCTTCTACCCAAGAAGGGTCAAAGCTACCTCATGTTAAAAGGAAAGCCCTTCAAATGGGCCCTGAGTAGCTGGCAGCAGTCCTTCCTCTCATCTGTCAGCCATCTGAAGGAGTCTTTACAGGACCCTCAGGAACAAGACAGAGGCCGAGATCGCTCGAACCTTTCCTACTTGGGATTTGTTCTCTCCACCAGGCCATTGGCTTAGAGGTGATCACTTCTAATTGAGATACCACATTTCTTCAAAGATGATATACAAGTCTCACAGAGAAACCAAAGGGGCCAGAATGTTCCCTCCAGGAACCGCCTGACCATTTCTTCCCACACCCATCAGAAGAACAGCAAAGTCCAGATCTTGGTCCTATGACTTAAAATAGATACTCTGTCTTCAGATGGGTACCTTCTTGAGAGGCTTCCACATTTCCTTGGTGCAGATACTGGGTGCAGAAAGAGTGTTCCTACATGATATTTGGATTATTTTTTACCATTAAAGCAGGCCAAATCAGAGAGGTGACCCTAGGTGAAGGGACAGGTAATCTGTCTGATCTGTGTTTGAAGACACATAAATAAATTGAAAGAAGCAATGCATTATGAAGATAAAAATGATGGCACTGACATACCCCAGGTCATTTGCTGATAGAAGAAACATTATTAAAAACTCAGTAAACATGATTCATCAGGGAAAATTAACAAAAATAGGAATTTGATAGCCCAAGGTTCCAGTAGCCAGGACAATCTGTTCCTGGTTCCTGTCATTGCATGGCTCTCCAGGATGTGGTCACCATATACCCGTCCTGGTTCCTGTCACTGAAAGTCAAGCATCTCTCAGGGAAAAATGTTGGTTCACTATGCAGCATCTTGCAGGTTTCAGCCCAGGGTGGGAAATATGTGCATAAAATACATCTTCCAGGTAGAATTCTGGAGGCTAATTGATCTAGAAACAGGCTGATGTACATAACTGGCATGACATGTAGTAGCTGTGTGTACCTTATTTTCAAACCACACTATTGGGATAATTATGACTTTGGGGGCAAAAATGAACCCTCTATCACCTGCTAGCTGTTCTAATTAGTATCTATGAAGGCGGAACATGAGTAACTCTGTAGGGAAGAGAGGTAGGATCCATGTGCTCTGTGCATTCCCAGAATCCGGGATTTATTTTATTAAGTAATTACATAATTGTTAATCCTGTAATGAAACATGGATGCACTCAGTGGGTCTAGTATTTTCCAACTGAAAAAAAAAAGTAAGAATAGAAATATAGTTTTCCCTTTTTTCCTGTTCCTCCACTCGGGACCCCAGTTTTAACAGGCTTTAAAGAAGAAAGAGTTGAGATCTACATGAACAGCCTGGACATGAGTGGGGGTAATGAAAGGCGAGAGTTGAGGGAAAGAGAGCTTGGGGGAGCGGGAGATCCCAGCTGGATCAACAACAGAGAGGGAGAACAAGGAATAGGAGACCATGGTAAATGAAGACCACATGAGAATAGGAAGAAGCAAAGTGCTAGAGAGGCCCACAGAAATCCACAAAGATACCCCCACAACAGACTGCTGGCAGTGGTCGAGAGACAGCCCGAACTGACCTACTCTGGTGATGGGATGGCCAAACACCCTAATTGTTGTGCTAGAAACCTCATCCAACTACTGAGGGCTCTGGATGCAGAGATCCATGACTAGGCCCCGGGTGGATCTCTGGGAGTCCAATTAGCGAGAATGAGGAGGGTTTATATGAGCGAGAATTGTTGAGACCAAGGTTGGATAAAGCACAGGGACAAATAGCCAAATGAATGGAAACACATGAACTATGAACCAATGGCTGAGGGGTCCCCACTGGATCAGGCCCTCTGAATGGGTGAGACAGTTGATTGGCTTGATCTGTTTGGGAGGCATCCAGGCAGTGGGACCAGATCTTGTGCTCATTGCATGAGTTGGCTGTTTGAAACCTGGGGCCTATGCAGGATTGTTTGGCTCGGCCTGGGAGGAGGGGACTAGACCTACCTGGACTGAGTCTACCAGGTTGAACTCAGTCTGTGGGGAAGGCTTTGCCCTGGAGGAGATGGGAATTGGGGGGGGGGGGGGGGTTGGGGGGAAGGTGAGGGGGACGGGAGGGGGGAGAACAAGGGAATCCGTGGCTGATATGTAGAACTGAATTGTATTGCAAAATAAATTAAAAAAAAAAAAAAAAAAAAACGAAGAAAGAGTTTCCAGGCCGCAGTGGTGGCATACACCTTTAATCCCAGCACTCGGGAGGCAGAGCCAGGCAGATCTCTGTGAGTTCGAGGCCAGCCTGGTCTACTCAGTAAGTTCCAGGACAGCCAGAGCTATGTAGAGAGACTCTGTTATAATCTGAGCTTCCTCTGCCTGTGATTCGACCCCAGTCTCTCAAAGTGTACTCATCTTGTTGTTTCTGGTGATAGAAGCTTTCTTGATGATGTGTTTGGTTATTTATTTTTCCACTAATTTTACTGGGCAATTTCAACTTAGAGGCACACGTCTCTGGAGTAGTCACTTTTCCTGCATTCTTTCTGTGAGGACTTGGCTGTTTTCTCTTCCTGCCTCAGAACTCCCAAGCAGTGTGTCCTGCCTCACAAGCTGACCATTCCCTAAACCCTTTACCTTCTGTTCAGTTTTCCATCTCTGCCTCACAGATCTACATCCTAGAAAACTTTCTGGACTTTATCCCCAACCTTAAAACATTTTATTTTAGCTATTCTTTTTGTTTGTTGGTTGGTTGGTTTGGTTTGGTTTTTTTCGAGACAGGGTTTCTCTGTGTAGCTTTGCGCCTTTCCTGGAACTCACTTTGGAGACCAGGCTGGCCTTGAACTCACAAAGATCCGCCTGCCTCTGCCTCCCGAGTGCTGGGATTAAAGGTGTGTGCCACCATCACCCAGCCTATTTTAACTATTCTTAACTGTTTTTTCTCATACTCTTTTAATTAATTTTTCCTTTATGAATATTCTTTGTTAGTCTCTTATCTCTCAATGAATATATTTTAGATGATTTTAGATCATTTGTTCTTAAAGGGCATTTTTTAGGCTTTGGGGTGAGAACGAACAGTGCTCCATGTCCTTTTACTCATTCACTATAAATAAATTGTTCCTTTGTCAGCATTTAAGGTAGGCAAGATGACCTGTTAGTTACTAACAGAATCTGATGTCCAGCTGGATTTTGGCTGTAACATAAGCTGCAACAACTTGAACGAAGTTTCACTATTCCGTGTGACACCATTACAATATTCCGTGTGACACCATTACACGATTCCATGTGACACCATTACACTATTCCGTGTGACACCATTACACGATTCCGTGTGACACCATTGCACTATTCCGTGTGACACCATTACACTATTCCGTGTGACACCATTACACTATTCCGTGTGACACCATTACACAATTCCATGTGACACCATTGCACTATTCCGTGTGATACCATTACACTATTCTGTGTGACACCATTGCACTATTCCATGTGATACCATTACATTAGTCTGTGTGACACCATTGCACTATTCCATGTGATACCATTACATTAGTCTGTGTGACACCATTACACTATTCCGTGTGACACCATTACACAATTCCATGTGACACCATTGCACTATTCCATGTGATACCATTACACTATTCTGTGTGACACCATTGCACTATTCCATGTGATACCATTACATTAGTCTGTGTGACACCATTACACTATTCCGTGTGACACTATTACACTATTCTGTGTGACACCATTCCCTCACCTGTAAAATGCTGCTGCTGTATGCATTAACATCTTCCTTCTGATTTATTGTCAGTGTGGTTTTATATGATATATTTATATTTTATATGGTATATTTCAAAGGCTTGTATTCTCCAGCTTGATTCAGTCTTATGATTTGTACTGCTTTATTATATGATTAAATTGAATTTGTTTATTCTTCCACGTTCTAGAACAACATCTTTTTATTGACTAACTTTACTATTTGGCAGTCTCGGGCACGTATGTGATGAGTTCTGATTCCTCCCTTTCTGTTTTGGTGGAATAAGTCTGTCTGTCTGTTTTTGCTGCTTTTGCTTTGCCTTGGGTTCATATGTCCTGAGTTAAATATGTATCTCTAGGGCTAAGGATGTAGCTCAGTAGCAGAGCACTCAGCAGGAGAACTGAGAGGTCCTGCCTTCAGTTTTCAGCACTGCACAGAGGAGAAACAGTACTCCACTTCAGTCTACCTCACCACATTTTGTGACCATAGCACGCCAGGCTGTGTCTCCGGTTCTGTGTGAATTTTGAGTTCCTTCCATTCATTTTCTTTTCCTTTTCATTTGTGACTATATTATAAATACTTTGGTAAGAGTTTTTGTTTATTCTTTGATTCAAGGTACTACATTGAAATCGATGAATATTTTAGCGTTGAGTTTTTGTTACTTAATTTGTGTTACCTTAAGAACAGAGAATACAGCTTTTCCTAACTTAGATTTTCTTTTTTCCCCCAAACACTCTAGGGTTTTCATTAGGCTCTAAAAAGCTGACCTGTTGTCATAGTTCAAAATCCCAGCACTGGGGAGGCAGAGGGAAGAGGGACAGGATTTTAGGGTCAAGTTCAACTTCAGCTCAAGTTTGAGGCTAGTCTGCACTATGTGAGAACCTGTCTCAAAATGAAAACAAAATCAGACAAAGAAACTGTCATTTTGTTATCATCCCCAGAAGATAAAAAGAAAGCCCATCCATTTGAGGAAAACCTTAAAGTACATTTATTCTCCTAAATTTGTTGATATGATTAAAATCATTTGCAAACTATTCTCTTTTTAATGCCTGGGGAGTGGATGTACATGTGTGCTCACATGTGTCTGTGTGTGTGTGTATGTGTCTGTGTCTGTGTGTGTATGTGCATGTGTGTGAGTGTGAGTGTATGTGTGTGTGTGTGTGAGTGTATGTGTGTGTATGTGAGTGTGTGTGTATGTATATGTGTGTGCTCGCATGTATGTATGTGTGTGATCGTGTGTGTGTGTGTGTGTGTGTGTGTGTGTGTGTGTGTGTGTGTGTGTGTATGCATGTGAACTCAGGTTCGTAGAGCCCCATGAACAATCTCAGTTGAACCAAGAACTTTCAAGTAAGACTAGTGTAGCCATACAGCTTGTCCCAGGGATCTCTTGCCTCTGCTTCCCTGAGACTAGAACTGCCGGCACAATGCCACACCCACCTGTCCTTGAATTGGGTGCTGAGGACTGGAGCTCTGGTTTGTTCAGTAAGCTCTTTATCTACTAAGCTCTCTCCCCGGCCCATGTTGCTTTCTTCTTCAGGAACAGATAAGGAAAGGACTGAGGAAAGTATATAAAAGCTTCTCACTGTAACGCCAGCTCCCAGTACTGCTCTCAGTCTGCAAGCCTTTCCCTGGCTTTTCTAGAATTGTATGGGCCCGTCCTTCCAGCAGCTCTGGGAAGCAGTCACCTCATTCCCAAGCCCTTGGGTCCCTCCAACTCAGTCATGTTAGATGGGAGGTGTTATCATATCACGCTATTTCCAAATGCTGGGGTCAGAATGTGAAGCACACCTGGGCCTCGGTGCTGTGTGTGCGTCTGCAGGTCGCCATTGCCACAGCATGGAAAAAGCTTCTGCTCAGCCAGCCACACACCACTCGGGCCTAAGACAAAACTCAGAGAAAGCACCAAAGGTGGAAATCATACAAAGCACGTTGAATAATCAAAATGTGAGTTGTGCTGGAAACCAGTCTTTAAAATGATAGCTGAAACATTTCTATTTTGAAATTAAGATGTGTTTTTATAAATAATCATGAGCCAAGTTAGAAATCATAATTATTTAACATGCTAGAAAGCATGTTAACTGCACAATAATAAAAATGTTGCATTAAGCCGGGCAGTGGTGGCGCACGCCTTTAATCCCAGCACTCGGGAGGCAGAGCCAGGCGGATCTCTGTGAGTTCGAGGCCAGCCTGGTCTCCAAAGCGAGTTCCAGGAAAGGCGCAAAGCTACACAGAGAAACCCTGTCTCGAAAAACCAAAAAAAAAAAAAAAAAAAAAAAAAAAAAAATGTTGCATTAAAATCGTAAACATTCACAAAAACATTGCCTGAAATTATTAGATTCAAATATCTGCTTTTGGTACGATGTGGTAAGGCATTAACTTACAGTAAATATATGAAATGTATTTCTAAAGCACATTAAAGACAGCCAAACCAAGTTCCTGTCTTATCAGTTATAGAGCATCATAAGAAACCAATGGAAGAATGAATTCAGAGTGACTGTCAAGAAAATTAAGGTTGAACAGATCAAAGCTCAAATGTTATTCAATGTCTTGAAACTAGCAGGAAAAGTCATTCATAGTTTTAAAAACAAGGAATAGGATTCTTTGATGATGATAAAGGAAATTCTCTCAATTGGAATACAGTAGGCTTTACAATAGCAACCAGTCTCCCAAGCTCTAGGGCATAAAGCAGTGAGTGACTTATACCAAGTCAGCCTTCCACAGGTTAGTGGGGAGCCCCGGCACCACAGTCACTCAGGAACCCAGCCTGATTGACATTGCTGATCACAGCACCCAAGGGATCAAGGGCTCTAGAGGGTCTCCCACAGAGAATGCAACAATTAGTCACCTCATCCTGAAAGCAACACCCCTCACTTCTAGTCACCGCTCATCAGCCAGACTCAGTCTAGGGCTTGTCTAACCTCAGCAGGGCCCCAGAGTGCAAAGCTACCCTAGACATTATGAATAACAAGTTTCAGAAGCTCTGTATCCTTTTATGCTCTATAGAAGACTGTCACTTCCAGTCCTGGTGGACAGCGTACCCGTGAGCTGCCGGCTTCCAGCTCCGCCTCCCTGTGGTGGACACAGTGAAGGTCTTTCATGTTGAGTCCTTTCATCTCCAGCTTGTGCTCATCATCTGGCCCATGGGGAGCTCCTCCCTGGGTGATTCTTAGAAGCCAGCTAGGGTGGGGTTTGCATGTAGATTTCTAGTACAACCTGCTTCAAATCCCTTCCAAAACCCCTTCTCCATTTTCTCCCTACTGCCCTCCGATGATGCCTCAAGCCATGTCTCCTGATGCTTTCTCCTCGCTCAGACCATGTACCTTAACCCTAGGACAAAGAGCTTTCATCTCTCAGACGTAACTGCGTGTGCTCTGTGTCCATCTTGATGATGTCCATGTGTTCCCAGCATGTGCAGCAAGTTACATTGTCAGCTTCTCACCAGCTCCCTGCATTGGCCTGTGTGAACAGCAATGTGACTGCTCTATAGAACTTACTTGGCTCTTTGCTAATTCTGTGCCTTTGCTCTTACAGGAGTGCCTGCTGCCACCAACTCACATGCCTAAGCGCTAAGTAGCCTCAGAGCCCTGCTCCAGTATCAGTTTTTCTTTTTGCCTCTTTAGAATCTCCTTTCCACCCCTTCCCCCAACTCCAGTCCTGTCTCCACTCCTCTCTCTCTCTCTCTCTCTCTCTCTCTCTCTCTCCAGCAGTACATTGTAGCCTCTTCTATCACTTAGAATATAACGTGAAAAAGGACTCTATCCCCACAGTATCTAGTGAGCTGGCCAGTGCACAAGAAATACATCAAATATTTCCAAAATCAATATAATAAGGTGTGTAACTGCTCTCCTCACTGAAATGTGTACAGACGCCATTTTCAAAAGTGTAATGTGGCCATTTGGATATGCTCATGCGATGGGTCTTACGTAAAAGTGCCTTGTAGAGACGCCCGTTTAGCAACCCCAACTAAAGACTGTAATGCTATGATGCTTCCTGTCTGTCAGAGGAAGTCGGGAGTAAATTTCTGTGATGTTTCTAAATTGCCCAGTGGGATCTTTTGCCTATGACCAGTGGTGTGCATTTGTGAGATGACCTGCTGGAAGGAGAGGTGACCCTGGCCCCTCCAACTCACAGAAACAGTGCCAGTCTGCACGTGGCAGGGGCCTGAGATGGTGGCCTCATTAATACACCTCTAATGAGCCAAGGTCACCTGGCTGATGGTGACACCAGGGCCACATGCCCCGCTGACTCGAGGAGCTGTGGCTAAGTGGGAGAGAGCATGGTGACCCCAGCTCAGGAAGCTTGAATACTAACACTCAAAAAGCAAAATATTCTCCTTAAATGACATCCAGTGGACAAAAAGAAGAGAAAAGAAAATGACCAGTCGTGAATAGAATGTGAGAACCATAGCACAAAGCAAGAACCTGCTCTGAGAATTCTTTTTAATTAGCAAACACACTTGAATGCATTACCCTTGTAATGATCGAATCATTCCATGCATGTTTCCGGATTTTACAGGTACATTATTTTAAAATTGAAAATAAACTATAAAAAGTAATAGTTTTAATTTAAGAAGAACAAATAAGCTTTTATGTTGGAAAAGAGGTAAATGACTTGGGGTTCTTTTGATTACAAGATACCGGAAAAGAACCATGAGTCAAACTGTCTTCATAAAGCTTGCTTAGTAACTCCGATGACTTACACCTCACTTCAGGCATGTTTGCTGTGGTGGCTCAATATTGCCAGTCTGTGCTCCGGTATGTGAAGACCATCTGAAAGCTTGCTCCTCCCGGTGTCAGCATGTTCCAAGTAGACTCCAAGACTCTCTGCTCACCTTCACTCTCATCTGTAAGAAAGGCCAACCGCCAGTGTCTCCGCATTTCCAGAGAAATACGGCATTTGTGACAATTGCGCCTACCCAGAGGTTTTAGAGCTATGACCAAGGGGAGAGGCGGAATCCTGGTCCAAGCAGCCTAGAACGTGTCACCCACATATGGTAAAGGTGACGAGAAGAGGAGGTGACTTTCCAAACTCTGTCCTTCAATATTTCTTGGTTATCCAATCTGCAGAGCGAGGAGTCTGCCTCTTCCAACAGACTGTGAAGGGAGACATGGGTATGTGCCATGAGCCAGAAGTGGGCAGTCTGAGATGTAGGGATCATCTGATGCCACAGCAAACTCAGTCTATACCAACCCATTTGAGCATCAGTTGAAAGTCTGCCGCCAGTGTGGCACCTAGGCAAAGCTGTGACCTGAGACCCATGTTCTAGAGTGAATATGGCACCTCGGCAAAGCTGTGGCCTGAGACCCACGTTCTAGCGTGAATGTGGCACCTAGGCAAAGCTGTCGCCTGAGACCCATGTTCTAGTGCTGACCCAACACTCTATGCCAACAAGGTCAGGAGGGAAGTTCTCATCTTTCCTAGAGGAGGAAAGTAATAGGAACCTCAGAGGGCTGTGATAAGTTGAGTTCATGGGAAAGCGGCCATACATGAGCACTCCCAAGCAGACAGGCTATGGAATCTCACCATCTGACACATGTCACACACTCTGCCTTATCTCCACCCATTTTCCTCACACTTAACCTGGCATTGCCTTACTGTCCTCACCTTCCATCTAAACAGAGCTAGAACATGAAACCCTGTGTCGCCCTGTGAATCCACTTATGGGATTAGTGTCCTGTTGAAGGCACAGTGGTGTCAATCCAAGGCAGAGGCTAGATGACAACCTCAGCACTTGGTCACCTTCCAGAACTAAAGATCCTCTGGACCTGTGAGGAGGAATCAAAATCAGGCAGAGTCCTGTGTGAACAAGGGACACTGGAAATGCAACATAAAAGCCTAGCAGTGGCAGAAGTGAGAGCAAATGATGGCAGCTGACCATGCCAGAAAGTCATGACAGAGCCAGAGAGACAGCGCCAACACCAGCAGGGGACAGGGCACCTGCAGGCAGGATCCATCCCCATTACTGTCCTTCCCTGTCTCCAGTAAGCTAGTGTCCACGCTCAGTACTGAGGCACAGTGCCTTATTTTCACAATGGGGACAATAATGGCCCCCAGCTTATGGGGTCATGTCTGTGGTAGAATGAACTAGTGCATTTAAGGCTTCCAACAGATCATGTGACATGCACGTGATAAATGTTGTCACCATCGTCCTCAGCCTTAGTGTCAACATCTTTAAGTCAACTGGGCTGAAGCCTCATGCAGACAGTCAGCCATGACGCCATTCCAAAGTGCATGTTGATACAGGCTGTGACCTGTGGGGGGGAAAAAATAGTGTTCTCCAATGCCTTCCCTGAAGGGACTCCATTTTCAGGTAGCATTGACTCTACTTGGAGTGAAAATTCCTTGGTCACTATAACTGACTCCTTAAGAACAAGCCACTGGTGCTCAGGACACAGGATGATTCCTGCACCTTGGTGGACACACGGATAACCCACAAGGTACCGCCTGTTAAGTAATGCATTCCTGGGGCTGGAGAGATGGCTCAGCGGTTAAGAGCATTCGCTGTTCTTCCAGAGGTCCTGAGTTCAATTCCCAGCACCCACATGGTGGCTCACAGCCATCTGTAATGAGATCTGGCACCCTTTTCTGGCCTGCAGGCATACATGCAGACAGAACACTGTATGCATAATCAATAAATAAATCTTTAAAAAAAAAAGTAATGCATTCCTAAGGATAGACATGTACTGTGTGGTTTAATTGAAGAAAATGCACTCTATGAGCTGATCACATGAGTATCCTGAAATTATATCTGGAAAACGGGGCCTGAAAACTTACTGAGCACACCAGAGTAAGCAAAGGATTGACGATCTTCACCTGGACACCTAACACAGGTGTGGTGATGACTAAGACAGATCCATCACCTGACCACCTAGTGTGTGCATCTGTGGAACCCACAGTCAGAGAACCCCCAGCCACCCCATTGGCTTCAGCTCAGCTTGGTTTCCCACTCAAACGACTGCCTTTCTTCTGTCTGTTTGTCTACCCATCTGGACCTATCACCTGTCTGTCCACCTGTATATTCATTTGGACCCAGTCTTGCCCATTGCTTCTAAGAGCTCGACGATCCTGCAGCTCAGTTCTATAGCCTGACTAGACCCCAAGACTCAGTCAAAACTGTGACTCCATACCTTGACCCTGGAGCAGCCTCTCCAGCAGACCTCCAGCCGGGTTATTTACCTTATTCCCTCATGGGCTCTCTGCCTCTTGGTAGGGCCTCTGTGGGAGTCCCTGACCTCTGAGGTGGCCTTCTTTGGCCTTTGCAGCCATTCCATAACCTCTGCATGTATTTCCTGTGTGGTCTGAGAGTCGGTGCTGCTCCCAGTGAAACCAGTGCACCTCGTGAAAGCATTAAAATGTCAATAAAGTCTGACAGTGGAAAAGCACAAACATTTGTCTAAGTTTCTGAAGCTGTGTGCTCAGAACAGCATCCCTTGCTTTCTGAAAGCTGCCATGAGCTTTGACTCCATCACTGTGATTTATTCCTTAAGAATTCCTTAAGCATAAGCCACTGGGTCAAGGACAGCACAAGAAAACAGACAGAATCAGCTAAAACGGGCTCACAGGGGCTCACAGAGACTGGACCGACAACCAGGGAGCCTGCAGAACTGACCTGGGCACACTATGTATATGTTACAGTTGTGTAGCTTGGTCCTCTTGTGGGACTCCTAACAGTGGGAACAGGGGCTGTCTCTGACTCTTTTGCTGACTTTTGGGACCCTACTCCTCATACTGGGTTGCCTTGCCCAGCCTTAAACCATGGGGAGGTGCTTAGTCTCATTACAATTTGATGTGCCATGCTTTGTTGATATCCATGGGAGGCCTGCTTTTTCCTGAACAGAAACCGAGGAGGAGGGGATTGGAGGTGGGGACAGAGGGGGGGGGCGGGGCTGGGAGGAGAGGAGGGAGGGGAAACTGCAGCCAAAAATGAATAAATAAATTTAAAAAAAAAAGAAAAAAGAATAAGCCACTGGTGCCCAGGACCCAGCGTGGTGGAGGCTTCCTGCTTAGTCAATGCGAGAGTTAGTTCACTGGCATTTTTAACCATCTCCTCACTGTCTAACCCCAGTGTGCACCAGGGCATGGGGCAGTACCTCCTGACTGAGGAGACGCTGGAAGAAAAAGAAGTACAGCTGTTAGGGGTGCAGACTTGAGACTCGGGCAAAAATCCCGCATACCATTAACTAGCTCTGTAGTGTTAGATCATCTAATTCTTTCAACCCTCCCAGGAGACTAGAAATACCATTGTCCAGAGGTGTGAGGAGTCACAGGATTATGTCGGTAGAACATTGCTGTGCCAAAACAAATTGGGAACTAGTGTGCGTGTGCGTGTGTGTGTGTGTGTATCTGTGTGTGTGTATCTGTGTGTGTGTGTGTGTGTCTGTGTGTATGTCTTGTGTGTGTATTCCTTAGTTTCCTTGTCTTTGTAGATTCTCAACTTTCAGTCACCAAAACAGATGATAAGTTTTGATTCAGAAAGATGCACTGACTCTACAAAAGAGAATTTCAATGGACTGGTCGGTCCAATGCAGACCTCTGAAGTGCCCCGTCAAGGAAAGGTTAATACAAGACATCAATGCTTGCTACTACTGGGATTCAGTTATTCACACAGGAATAGCAAGAAAAAAGAGGAAATCCTAGTTCTCAATCTCTCTCCTGTTAGGGGGATGCTGATATTATTGCTCACTTGGTTTTGTTTGTCTTTAAAGGCAGTGTCTCGTGTGTCCCAGCTGGTCTGGACTTGTGTAGCTGAGGAGGACTCCTGTCTCCACCTCCAATGCACCATCTCACTCTGTTGATGTGGTGCTGGGGATGGAACCCTGGGACTCGTGCATGCCAAGCACACAGTCAACTAAGCTATGTATGTCCCAGCCTTCCATCTCTATGTCTTACACCAGCTAGAGCAGCCAGATACTGTCGTCTTCCTACGTGCTTCCAAATTACTTACCCAAATAATCACTCCTAAAATTGTACCAAAAATTGCTCTCAGGCTTGGAAGTGTGTGCTTTTCCTGTCCTTCATTGAGAAGGATGGGGCTCCTGTATCTCTGAAATTGTTGTGTCCACCTACTTTTTATTTCATGTACATCCCTGAATTCCCTACTTTGCATAAGACCTGTGCATATTGTGTCCTTCCTGGCCATGAGTCCCACCTTCTAAAAGCTATGACAAATTTAGTGACCCTTTCTCAATAAGAGTAGGGAATGGACCAGTGCCTCTTAGCAGCAATGCCCACTTGATACAAAGGATTATCATCTGATTTCACTCTGAAAGCAGTAGCAAGGCTAACTCCTTCCTTGGGCATCCTATGACATCCCACTCCTTCAAGATGAAGCGAGTGGACATCTATATACACAGGGGCAGGTGCGCTGAGAGAAGAGCCGTGCATTGCCAATGACAGCACACACGAGATAAGCTCACATCCAGCTGCCCAGCCGCTGTACCAGGCACTCAGTATGTGGGATACCCAGACACAGCTTCAGCCACAAGAATGAAAGGAGCGTGTGGGTGACAGAGGTCCTCACAGAGCCTTGAGAGTACAAAATCGAACATGCTGGTGACCACCTCTTTGAGAGCATTTCAGAAACTGATGCTTTTATCTGTTCAAACAAACAGTATCACTTATAAGAAAAATGAAATACTCAATACAAAGAAAGTCCACTTTCACCAAGTACTACATTGCATTAATGGTTCTAAAACAATACAAAAATTAAAATAAACAAATAAATGTACTAAAATAATTCTCCACCCTGTAGATATACTGTTTTCTCCTTTACCAACTTGATGGCCATGGAAGGTTTTGGTTGTTTCCAATCATAAGCAGTACTGGTTTTAGCATTCTTCCATGACTGAGTACACAGCATCTTACTTAGGCTAATGCCCACAGGGTGAATTGCTGGGCTCAGTCTCACGTGCATTTGTGTGGCTCTGAGGAGAACTGCTGCATCTGTTTGGGCCACAGCATCTGTTAACATCTCTCTTTTCCCAAACATGCTTCTGATCTGAGTGATAATATTTCAATGGCTATTTTTGCTAATATGCTATTCCCAAACTTATTTTGATTACCAATGAGTTTGAATATTATAGGATATTAACTGCTCATTTGTCTATATTAATACCTGTATTATCTGCTCACGTTATTAGATCATTCTAATTTGATTATTTTACTGGACTATGACAGCTACTTGTATATTAAAGATATTAACCTTTATGGCATATGTCAAAAGTATTTTTAGACTTTGTGTTTGGCTTTCATTTTGTTGGGTGTGTTTGACTCTAAGCAGAGACGATCCACAGAAATGTTTCTGTGTTTTCTGGTTCTGCAGTAGCAAATCGTATCTAATAGTAGGAAATGTTCTCACTTCACAAAATTCATAGCGGTAATGGATTTTAGGCCTAAGAAAATTGTATGTGGAGCTTATAACCATCTAAGATGAATAAATTTTACCACTTTGACTTCAAATTATTTTTTCCTTATTCTTCAGCAATTTCTCTATATCTGTAAGCTCTATCGTGTTGATTATACTTGAAGGCAGAAAGCTGTACAATAGAAATTCAATTTCCTGAATAGAAAGGTTCTATAATGTCAGTAGACTCTTCATGTTAGACCTTTCAAAACCTTTAATCTTGAGTTCAAAGTCCTCACTTACAACTTGCCAACAGCTGCAGAGGGATAAACACATCTCGCCTCATTCAGGCCCCAGAATCACATTCCCTTTATATCTGTTAACACACTTTCTCAAAGGAAAAGAGCTCCGTTTCCCACTTCACCATCCCCAAATCATATTTCTTTAATTCCATTGGGAAACTAAGAACAAAAAGACTTGATGTTATGAATCAATTCCTCAAGAATGAGAAACAAAAACACATGAACTAAAATGGAAATGGGCAGTATAAAAACTCAGTCCCCCTTGGGGCTGGGGCACGATGGTTCATTCAGGGGTGTGTGGACAATGGCTCAGTTTGGGCTGGGATGAAGACAGCTTGAACACTTGAGTTTGGTCTCCAGGACCCATATGAAAAGTCTAGTGCTGATACACTAGTAATCCCAGCACTGGGGAGGTTGAGGCAGGCAGATCTCTGAAGCTTGCTCACCAGACAGCCTAATCTACTCAGTGAGCTCCAGACCTATAAGAGATAATGTCTCAAAGCATTAGGTGACCACTCATGAGTAATGGCACCCAAGGTTAACCTCTGGCCACTACACACACATGCATGTATGTGCACATGCATCTATATGCACACATGTATCCACATATATATACACACAAAAAAAAGATAAAGAAAAAAATCCTCTTAATGAAATTAAGGATATTTTTATACAGCACTCCAGTTTTCTCTCACAGCTACTGTGAAGCAATTTTCTTTCTTCTCAGGAAGGAAGGACACAGCATTCCCTTTCATGCTCCATTCAGAGTAACAGGGCAGGCACTGTGGCTGCCAGTCATTGTCAATAACATTGCAATAAAATTTATCACAACCATGCTAACTCAATCAAGGTTGCAATGTAGTTATCACCTAAAAGCTATGTCTGATATTCTCTTGAGATGAGAGAAAACATTAATAACCCCTGAGTGACCAGGTAGCTATACGTATAATCCCAGTTAGAAAATTAAGGTACAGTTGTACACACACACACACACACACACACACACACACACACACACACACATCAGTATGGTCTACATGTCAAGTCTCTTCCCTGACATTGGGTGTAGATAGGCACACACAATCTTTGGGATGCATATCTAATGGAAAACCACATTCAGGAGCCACTACAGCCACCCAAACTACCACCCTCAGACATTCATCTCCTCAAGGACTCTCACAGTATTTTCTGCCTTTGATAGCAATGTTTTGTCATTGTGTTTTCCTGGAAAAAAAATCCACAAAATGGACAGTTAAACATAGCTCTTGAGAGCTTTGTAGGATTATGATGGGAGGGAAAGAAGAATGGACAGAAAAGGCAGAAACCCAGACTCTCAAGTGTCTGGTTGTTATATCACTCAGGTCCTCCATGGATGCATACCTACACACTCATGCTTTTCACCAAAAGATGCTCAGGAAGAGGGAAGAGCACATTCACAGTTATGAGACCAGCTAATCTATCTTCCTATGACCTTAGTGCACTCTCGTCTACCCAGCTGGAGCAAGCTCCCTTCCCCCGGGAGGGGTCTGTGTTTCTAGTGTACCTCCCTGCATGGAAATTCTATAGCTAAATAGCATCTATTATTCTTTGCGCTTTGTCCTTGTGTCTAGGAGAGTTCCCTGATCCTGAAACCAGGCTGAGTATCACTGTGATTGACTGCTTACTAACCTTGTCTTGTCAAGAACAGTCATCATACTTGTGGTGTATGCTTACTATATGCTGCCAAACTAGACTGCAATCCCCAAGCAGATGTTAGCATCGGTATCTTGTTCATTTCAATACTTCCAATTCCTAAAACTATGAGGAGCACATAATGTGCTCTCAGCAAATGTTGACAAAGGAGGATTAGTAATCTAAGATGTATAAAGTGCTAGGTTCAATTCCTGGCACAAAGAAATGCTCCATGCAGGGTAGTTTGGATAAGACCAGAAACAGGCTTGGTGCCGACTGCCCGCTCCGCTCTCTGCCTCCTTCCCACCAGCGCTCAAAAACTCTGCTCTGACTGTCTTGTCGCCACAGCTTGCAGAGGAAATTACAGCATTCTATTTTTAGTTGTTTTTCAGAAGATTCAGCGTGGCCTGCAAAGTGTGTAAAAGCTGTAATGACAGGCCATCACGCCACCAAGTCCTGCAGTTATATTTAGGTGGGCTCCTAGAGTTAAGGCTGAGCGCCTCTGTTCATTACATTCATGTTTACTTTCAAACCAACCAGGAATGTAGCCTTGACCGGACCAGAAGTTGTGGGGCTGCTCTGAAGCGTGTTCATTCTCCAACCCCCAGTGTTCCTGGAGAAGATAAAGCTGACCTCAACTTTATTGTTAAAAAACTTCCCAGTGTTTCCACAGGAAATCTCTGAAACCACTAAACAAACGGTGCTTTCAACTCTTAAACTTTTCACTGAGGATTGAGTTGAGTTTAAACTTACCCTGAATATCTCCCTGGATCTGGCTGATCTTCCATTTCCTCTGAGAAAGAAAAGCAGAGGGCAACATTAAGTTCTCGGAGCAGGCGGTTGGATATGAACAAGTGAAAATGGAGACTCAGGACCAGAGAGGAAAAAATGAGGAAGAGGACCCTGAATCAGAGAAGGGGAGGTGCAAACGAGGACCTAGAGCCAGAGGGAGAGAAGGTGACGATGGTGACCCGGGACCAACGGGGGAGAAGAAGGTGACGATGGTGACCCGGGGTCTGTTGAGGATGGAAACACAGAACCAGAGGAGGGAAGGTGAGAACAGAGACCAAGAACCAGACTGAGGAAAGAAGATGTGGGTGAAGATCCAGGATCCAAGGAGAGGGCAAGAGGGGAGACTCAGGACCAGAGGAAGGGAGGTACTCATGGAACAGAAGACATAAATTCAAGCATACTCTGATACAGAAACAGACAATTTTCAAAACATAGGGAATATGAGAGATGAAAACTGGGTTTTGACCTTGAGTAATGGGGAACCAGTCAGGTCACATCACAGAGTAAAGAGAAAGTTCATACTGAATGAGATGTGTTTGCAGTACCAGAGCTGCTGGACGTGTGAGATGAACTCAAGGACAATGTGAGGCCTCCTCCCAGGGTACCGGCCATCTCCTGGATCGCTCAGCTGCTTTAGCCCTTGCTTTAAGGTCATAGTCAATCCTTTTTCGTTAGGAGGTGGAAGATCTTAGAAACAGGAGCCTTTAGCTTATATCTTAGAGTAGTCAGCGGCTCCACGTCCTGTCAACCTCTGGCCCCATAATAGATGCTTTGTGTGGCTCTTCATTTCAACCATTTTAAGACTGTCATCTTAGAAAACAAATAACAGGCTGCTGTGATTAAGGAAACCAGGACCAAGAAAGAATCAATGAACTGGTCAGGTTCACACGCTAACATCAATGTCCTGGTTCCACACTGGAGAAAGAGCACCTTTCAGCCCCTGCAGAGATGGACCGCCAGGTGATTTAACCACCGTTTGTCTTGCTCTGCAGTAGCTTGTTGCTTTGTGCTCAGAACTGTTCTTTTATTTTTATTTTTATTTTTTTTATTTTTTTGGTTTTTCGAGACAGGGTTTCTCTCTGTAGTTTTGTGCCTTTCCTGGAACTCACTTTGTAGACCAGGCTGGCCTCGAACTCACAGAGATCCTCCTGCCTCTGCCTCCCGAGTGCTGGGATTAAAGGCGTGCGCCACCACCGCCTGACTTCAGAACTGTTCTGTAGGCTTGTGTGTGTTCTTTGGTCTCACTTTATTATGGTTGACTCTTTGTAGGGCAATGCTTGTTTTCTGTATTTCCTCCCTGCCTTCTTAAGCGTCTATGTACATTTTATGTTCACTTCTACCAAAAATACTACCTGTATTGGTACATTTTATGTTCACTTCTACCAAAAATACTACCTGTGTTGGTAACCAATCTATAGTTTTTCCTCATGTACACTAGCCAAGTTCTATCTCCTAAAATAAAGGTTGTTTTATGATAATAGCTTTGAGAATGGCAGAAATCAGGGCTGGGAAGATGGCCCAATTGGTAAACTGCTTGCCACACGAGCATGAAGACTTAAGTTTGGATCCATAGCCAGGCACATAAAAGGCTAGACATGGCAGTGTATGCTTATAATCTCATCGATGGATAATTCCTGGGACTTGCTGTCCACAGTCTGTGAGTGATGCTGCCTCAAAGAAGCAAAGTGGAAAGGAAAGGGAAAATGTTGTCGGAGTTGTTGAGGAGCCCACAAGTAACCACTGCACTACCTCAGCCAGAGCTGTAGTCATAAGGCCCTCTTGGTCCCCAGTAGAGCACAGCTTAATTAAAGGCAGCTATGAGACAGTGCTACTTTAACGTCATAGAATTCACACACAATACTTTCTACTGTCGTTTTTCTACCACACAGATGCTCTGAACCTCCGAAACCGACAGGTCATCTGTGTCACACTCAAAGTCCTCCAGCATCTGGTTGTGTCGGCCGAGATGGTGGGTGAAGCCTTGGTACCCTACTACCGTCAGATCCTCCCAATCCTGAACATCTTCAAGAACATGAATGGTGAGTGGCCCCAGGAGCAAATGTCTTCTCGGCCCTAGAATGAGGAAGTGGGTGAAGGAGGACTGAGGAGCCCCCTGTTTGGGACTATCACCCTTCAGTTTGGAGATCTCAAATGCGTAGCCCGACCCTTCTCCTACTGTCCTCCTGGAAACAGTCTAATCAGCAGTTCCACTTATTGCTCCTCATATGTATGGCTCACTCACTCAGTAGAGGAACCCCGAAATGCTTCTGTCTGTTTCCAGTAATTAAACTGTATAGCTTTCTTTAATACTCCTTGAAGAAGGTTTTGATCCTCTCTGCAAAACTTTGTAGCCCACTATTTATAAATTGATTGGAGGTGAGTGTTTTAAATGCTGTTCAAATGTGGTAGGCAGTTTGGAGCCTTTTAACATCTGATATTTCATTTCAAGGGAAAAAAGCCATAAAAATGATATTTTTTCTGCTCTTAGTTGCTGATACTTAGTAATTTGTCATTAACAATTTTCAGTGACTTGGATGGTGAGTACTGATTAAAAGTAGATATGAGAGTCAATGTATCTCTTGAAAACTATTCCTCACTTAGCTTCAGAGGCATGGATGCTCTCAAAGGAATGTTTACCCTGCACAGATCTGTATCTAGTCTTAGCGATCATTGGCAGGCCGCGACTGTGGCTTTGCTCCCTGGCAGTCTGATTTCCCTGAAAGTACATGAATCTCATTTTCTTTTGTTGCTAACTTTGAAGTTCCGTACTTCTCACATGCGTGGAAGGAGTCAACATTTGAAGTTAGTTCCTGACAGCCATGTAAATAAGTTGGTAATTTAGCGGAACACAGCATGAAAATTTTGCAACACGGTCTGCTCATTGTACATACAGGAAAACAATATCAAACAAAAAGCCAAGTGTGTGGCAGCCCCGGCCACAGACAAGCCTGGAATTTAGAGTCACCATCATTGAATGTAGTCACTGATTGCTGTTGAATCTGCATCATGTATTCACTACTCAGGGCACTGTAGAGTTCTCAGGAGCTCTTTAGCTGTCTTTGGGTCAACTGACCCAATTCTATGTTTGTGGTCCATCTCAAGCCATCTGAAGAGGAGAAGGCTGCATTGACACTTAAGCAAGAGGAAATTAAAAACTGTGTTTCAGTAATTTAGTTTCATACTGTTCAAGCAATTGTTTTATAATAGCATTCCTATGTTATAAAAAATACTTACAAATACTATTTATTCCTAATTAATATTTTTACCATATGTCAGCATCAAATATCTGTGTATTTATAGAAAGACTCCACAATAATGTCGTTCAATTATGGCTCAAAAGGAAACTGCAAGCTTCCTTGTATTCTTGTATTTCGATCCTACCTCAACTTGAAGGAGCTAGGGCCAGAAGTAGAGATCTGTTGGGGGGATACAGAGTCGCTGTTCAAAAACTCTAGGTTAATATTTTGAAGCCTGGGTCTCACAAATATTTTCTCAGTATTCCTCACACAAACCTACAAAATGCTCATGGTTAGTACGCCCATCGTTTTATTATGAAGCTTGCCTCCCTGTAGCTTTTCTCCCTTATAAGCATTTGTATCTGAATTTGATGCATGGAGATTGGGCCTGCCCACATTTCTTCTGTCTTGCTGAAGCATAGAGGAATAGATGCATCCACAATGTGATATGCTCTCGTCATACGGTAAAAATCTACAACTTAAATCTAAGCAATATTTTGTATCCTTGTGTGAAAATGAAGGGCATTGGTGAATCCCACGAGAAAACCCAGTTCTTGGGTACCAAACTTGGGAGGTAGGACTGATTCAGCCACCAGGACAGTCCTCCTGGTGGTTCTGGGCTGTAAAGCAAAGCTGCTTGTCCCCTGCTGTTTCATAGGTACAGCTTCTCTTTACGTCTGTAGCTAGCAAATGCCCATCTGCCTAACACAGGGAGAGGTTGCTTGTCTGTAGGAATATCCATTGAGAGTTCACTGTGGGACATTCATAGTTGATCTAAGCCACCATCGGTTTCAAACACAACTAACAGTTCCAGAACATTTCCCAATGCACACATCGGAAACTCCATGTGCAAATTGCTTTTCTGTCAAACGTTTTTCTGACATTTGAGAGGGAGAATATTATCTTCTGCTTCATTTTCTCTTCTTCAAAGCCCTTCACCATAATGCCAGGGTGAGGCATAGTATGTCCTGAGGGGCCTGGAATAAAATTGGATCATTATACCCTAAGAATGGAGTGCTCTTCCATAAGGGGGGTCTGTACTTCTAGAAGTGTCTCTGGAACCCAGATCCAGGTCTGTGAGGAGCTCACTCCAGGACTCCCAGCTGCATTAGTATTTTCACCAGGAAAATGGTTTCCCTAACAGTAGTTTTTATTAAAAAATCCACTTCATGATTGTAGATGTTGTACCCATATCCACAGAGCCATGATTCTTATTTTATTTAAGCTGGTATCTCTCACAACTTGTCATTATTTATCATTAAAATTATCTCAGAGACTCTCAGTAACAACATTAGAGAGAGACATCTTATAGACTCCAAAGCATTTGATGACAATTTCACGTTTCTATATCTCTGCTATTCCATGCTTGGCTTTTATGCAAATCGATGTCTTGTTAAACTTAGCTTCAAATATATTTCTTTCAAGTCCTACCACAAAATCCTTTTAAAATGGGACCAGATATAAGTGATAGAAAGAATGGGCGAATACATCCTTTCAAATGTAACGGCCCTGCTCTGTGTCTGCCCCCTTGAAGCACACACTCCAGCTTAGTTCTCCTGTCTGATCTTTCACAACACCTTTCCTGTTTTAATGTGAAATAACTTCTGAAACAAGCAGTGGGGGGCGAGCAGGCAGGGAGCCGGGCAAACCTGTTAGCAGTTGCCCACAGTGAGGAAACCAGGCCCCCAGATTCAGGGGACCTGAGCTTCAGAACGCAGCCCAGGGAGAAAATGGTGCAACCCAGAGCATCGATTTGCACCACGTCGGCCCTGCTGAGGTGTTAAATCTTAGCCAGCCTTTTAACTTCCTTCCTCCTTTGGAAGAGGATACTCACCTGGTAGGAGACAGGAAGGGGGTGGTAGAAACATCCAGCCACCAAGGACAAGCTCCCAGGGAGCTGCTTCCTTCAGCTAGGCCTCTTTTGCTGAAATTTCCAGAGCTCCCCGAGGTAGCCCACCACCTACGGAACAACCCTTCAATGCACACACCTTCGGGAGACACTTTGTATCTAAACCCTAATAACAGTTTTTTGTAAGGGCTGGTGTGATCATTAGAGACAATGAGTTCCTAGCCCCATGGTGAAGTAAAACAGCCGTTACTATACAATTTGTAGTATGATCTTACAGAAAACGTAGCAATGCTTTGTGAGCTATCATCCAGCAGCCCATCTGTGTGGTGGAAGTTGTCTATGGAGCCTGTAACGCTGTCCCCACTGCGAAACTGCCAGTGTGACCCTCCCATACTCCGTGAGTAAGATGCAGGCTTCTGGTCTCACCAGCCATGTGAAGGTCCATCTTATTTCTGATGACTACATGCTAGGTGAGTTTCTGTGTAAGTTATAGGATAAATTGTTTTCAAATCCATCCTTCCCTTGCAAAATGTTTAAGCTCACATATGTGACTGGTGTTTGGGGTAATACCATCTTTAAAAAGATAAGCCCGTGTCAGACAGAGTTAGAAAGTCTAGATCAGGATCTTCCGTGGAAGATTCAAATGGGTGGCTGTGCTTAGGCATCATTTCTCCAACTCAGGCACTCACCAGGCCCAACCATGTTTAGATTGGTGATCAGACAGGATTGGACATCTTCAGGGTAGCTTTGCCACTTACTGAAGCTCACTTCTCCGTATTTAAACAATGAGTTTGAGATGTCTAAACTGTGTTGATTTTCCAGGAACTACATTGGGATGAGAGAAATAACAATTTCTATAAACTATTCATAAAGTGCATTTGTCATATAGCCAAAAGCAGTTTCATCTCTCCTACGATCTTTTATAAATACTATTAAAGGTTACAGAAAATTAAGACAGTAAGAATGTTCAGTTTATAGCTTTACCCGATGAAGCCACAAAATGAATGATGTGATGTAGAAGAGCATGAGTCATTAATGGCATGAACTCATTCATAGCTGAACTGTAAACTGTCAGCTCTGACAGCAGACCAGGGCCTCCGAGAGACTGTCTCCATGTGTTGCATCCTCGGTTCCCAAGGGCAACAAAAGTCCTGGATGAACTTGACCCTGATGGTACCACGTGCCATGCAATAGATATAATAACCAAACATCCTGACCCATGTTTGTGGAAATCAGATGCTAAAATATTTAGGACAAATCTTGAGCATGCCCCAGTCAGGCTGATAAAAGTCCATTAAAAGAGACAAAGCTTGTTATTCAAGGGCCCACAGGGTGGCTCAGCAGATACAGCCACCCACTGCTTCGCCTGAGGACCAGAGTTCGATCCCAGGGATCCATATGGCAAAAAGAGAGAACAGACTCTTGAAATTCTCCTTTGATCTCCATTGCGGTGTATGCCCCATTCCCCAGTGACAATAAATATGCATAATATCTTTTTAAATTTTGGTAATTCAAATTAAACACGTCAATCTATATAAGTAATAAGAATATATTATATTTGTAAAATTTTAAAATGTTTGTACTAAGTCTTTGGCCTTGAAATTTAAGTGGCTTCTGAAAAAAAATTGAAACAAGAAACAACTTATCATGAGAGCCTGAGTATTCTCACGCCACCTGATCCCAAGCCTTCTAGATACTTCTGTGAGTTGTGTATGGCTATTCTGTGGTCCTTTAAAATGCTGAACTTTTGGATACTAGTTTTTTACCCAAAACCAAGAAGCGTAATTTTTCTTGTATTATTATTTCTCTGTAGGAAATTTGAGTTTAGTTTGGAATTAAGGTTTATTCCCTGTGGAATGTTGGTCCATTTTTTAGTCTATAGTTTACATTTTGGTAATTTGCTTCAAAGTTCTGTGGAAGTCTCTATGTTTATTAAATTCAATGCAAGCATTGAATTGTTCTGAGTTCATATGGGAAGTTATTAGAACTGCCGCCTCCCACCATTTCTGAATGTTAGATTGGGATTATCACATATGTATCTAGTCTCTCTAAGTACTTACCCCACATAGATTAAAACATTGGTCTAAAGAGACTCCTAGGGTCGGAAAACAAAACAAATAAACAACAACAACAACAACAAAACCCTGGAAGATACGTATGAGGCCCGTTGGTCTTGAGTGTCTCAGTAGTGTTCTGAACTGTTAGTTTCATAGAGGCAAAACGTTTGCATTCTATGACCCATCAGGTATGGCCAACTGACAGCTTATGGCTGGAAGGACTATCCACTGCAGACTGAATACCTCCACCCTATGGTATGTGGAGATCAAATTCCATCTGCTTTTCTTTTGTTCTGAGACAGGTGATCGCCTGTAGTCCAGTGTGGCTTCTGAGGGTTAGGGTTGCAAGCCTGCCCACCACCCCCAGCAAAATCTCATCTTTGACAAGCAAACTGAGGGTTGATGTGTTCCTGTCTGCCACAGTGACCTAACTACTGAAAATGGCTTCTTTAGTAAGAATTCTTTTCAGTGACAGCACCCTGTAACTTTCCCAGGGGGACATTTTGTTTGGTCAGACAAGGGACTTCATTTTGAGCAGAGAGAATGGAGGTCTGTTGGTTTCTTCATTCTCCTGAGATGCTGCAGTCTGAATGGTGAGGACAACAAGCTTCCCTGGGGGATGTCCAGGGCACTGCTGCCCCAGCCTGCCAAGGACCCCCATTGGAATGGAGGACTGCATTGCCTGCAGGAGCCTCTTCCCAAACCAGCTGGGCAAGAGGCCCAAGCAGCTCACTGCCTAAACGAGGCGGACCAGTAAGGAGAGTTCACCTCCTCTGGGCAGATCAAATAAGATGTGGAGAAACAAGATACAGGACACCGTGGGTGGTACCCGCATGCAGTTCTGAGGGGTGGAGGCTCTGGCATTCAAAGAGTCTGTGTGTTTTAAACCTGCTTATCAACTGCAAAAGAAAAGAATGGACAGTCACACAACTACTCTGTGCCTCAGTCTCCTTCATTTAGACAGCAGGTTGTTGGAGGAATTAAAGACGTTTTCAAATCCTCAGAGAACTCTCAGGAAGCCATTTGGTACACGTGTCTTCTGGCTGGAATTAAGCGTGCATTGTGATGAGTGCTGATTTACACATGGCCGAGGATTTGGTAAATGTTAGGTCTCTGCACCGCCTGCCTCAGAGGGTTGTGAGGAAAAACGATAGACATATGGTTTTATATGGTCCCTCCGAGGGTATTGTGTATAATCCATTAGAATGAATGTATTTCGTAAGGTGATTCGATGCAAAATAAATTCAGGAAGTATTATGTTTACTATATGCCCACAGCAGAACTATGATCTCGAATGTCTTTTGTTGATGCTAATAATCCCTGTTATGCAAATAAGCCAGCACGGACAAGCTTTCGTGTCCACTCTTCCCACCCTCACGGTAGGTTTAGCTTCTTCCTTAGACTCCCCGGTTCACGTCAGAGGGCTGAAGTATTTAACCACAGGCCAGAGCAGTGTTGCCAGGAATTGCTTGTCCTGATGGACTGTGGCAACCCCAGCATCTTACTGAAGGCTGCATGGCTTTGAGGGTGCACATGGCCTCTGGGGTTGCAGCTTCTCCCCGTAAGTCTTTCGCCGTCACAGCGCCCACGTCGCTCCGCATCTTGTCTGTCGTGACTGTATCTTTCTCATCTCACCACTGCCTTTGGACCCAGGTCCAGGCTCCTCATCACACGGTAGCTGATGTTCTGGAAATAAGCGGTGATGGTGACGAATCTGTTTATTCAAGGGAGTGAGAGAGAGAGAGAGAGAGAGAGAGGAGATTGCTTTTCAGTGAGTTAAACTTGATAGCAGTCTGTGTGCATGATGGTGGATGTACAGCACTAATAGATGAGATTGATATATACTCTGCTGGTATGTGAAGGTTACCAGAGATTCTGGGTTCTGGAACACTGAAGAGAGTGTTTGGTAGTTAACAATGTAATCATTAGGTGGGAGTTCTCCAGCTTGTAGAATGCAGGGCCAGAGTGGGAGGGTGGGGCGTGGTCCTTACAGAAAGACCACTCACGAACACTAGCCGCTGTCACAAAGCCAGGCCCACAGGAATATCAAACTGCAGTTGGATCTGTGGCCCAAGCACGCCTGGATTTTCTCCAGACCCGAGGCCAGTTTGGCTCACCTAGAACATCTCCCTCAGGAGAATCTCACTCACTGTTCTGCAGCAGCAGTGAGAGGCCACCGCTGGGGGAGGGGCCCAAGTGACCTGGTGGCGTGGTGGATGGAGCCAGGCTCCACTGTGTCGTCGGGACAGCCTCTGGACTTTGGCACAGTGCTTACTAGCCTTGAATGACCGTGCCACAGTGCAGTCTCCAGGCCTTTGTGACACAGGCCTATTTTTCCCCTAAATCCAAAAGAAAGCATCATGTCCCCTCTGTCCCCTCCCTGCTCCCTCTCAGACTGGTGGGGTGAATTGTTCTCTGAGCTAAGCCACACTCTGAATAGAGGTCCTATTTCTTTTTTACATTTTGTGTGTGTGTGTGTGTGTGTGTGTGTGTGTGTGTGTGTGTGTGTGTGTGTGTGTAGCCCAGGCTATCCTCAGACTTCCCACATATCTAAGGATGACCTTAAATTTCTACCTCCTTTAGTGCTAGGTTTACTGGGATGAGCCACTATGCCCAGTTTATGCTGTGCTGGGGATCAAACCCAGGGCCTTGTGTATACTACAAAACCACTCTATCAACTGATCTATACTCCATAGATACTGTTTCTTGGGGCTGTCTCCTCACCAAAGCCCAGGTAGAAGGGGAGAGTCAAAACCTGCTGCCTGCTTAAAGTACAAAGCCATGTTTGAAATATACTTCCTCCTCATCCTCCTTCTTCAAGCCACCCAGCCAAGGTCAACCAACAGAGTTCCTTGATTACACTAGATGCCCAGGCCTTGACCCGTGCCATGTCCCCTGCTCGCTGGGAGCACATTCTGCACCAGTTTCCAACAGTACAGCTAAGACCTCTAGGGCATGTCTGCAGAGCTCTGTGTAGGAAGCTCTAGTGTGTTTGAAGACTGAAACAGGCCCCGGATGAGGTTATACACGCTATCCTCTGTGGGTGCCACAGAAAGTATTGAACAAGGCCAAAAAAGCAAAGCTTTTAACTGAAGGAAACTTTTCACTCAGTTTATAACTTGTACTTCTGAAGTCACCTAAAGTGTCCCCTATTCTAGAATTGCTGATAATGAAAGCCTCTTCCTCGTTTTCCTTAATATGCAAATCTTTTCTGAGCTGCAGTGAAGGGCATCTTAAAGGTCTTCGTGGACATGGCAGAGAAAATAAGAATGTCGCCAAGTGATTGTTACGTTGAACCATCACTACTCATGGTGTCATTAAGGCAAGTCTGGGGTAGGGGACAGAATGTAAATACTGCTCAGCCCAGGGATCACCCCCAGCCGCTGGGAGGTCTGCAGTTGGGCCTGGGATGTTTTCCTTCTAAGATCTGTGGGGACTTTGAATCAGACAAGTTCAAGTCTTGCAAACCTTGACTTGGCTCACTCTTAAGTTCTCACTCCTCCCTCAACTTGGGCTGGCTTCTCTCTGAAAGCTTGCCTGAGAAATGGGGTATGGTGAGCTTCACCTCTGTTTCTTGGTCTTTGCGATGACCTGTTCACCCCTCCCTACTCACCCCACAACCTTGTCTATGAGCTCTGTTCTAGGATGCTGTCCCAGTTGGGAGGCAGGGGAGAAGGAGGCCCCCCTCCAAAAGTCTGGCGAGTGTTTAGTTCCCGCTATGGGTGCCGCTGGCTGAGGGCCCCCGGCTCTCACTCCGGCTGCAGCAGAGCCTGTAGGTCTGTGGCTCTCCCTCAATATTCTCTCATTCCCTTCATATCCTGCCTTCACCTTAGCCTGTCAGGGTTCCTGTGGCCTGCAGGCCCTTCTAGGAAATCCTTGCACAGACAAAAATCCCTAACACATGAAAATTAAGCTTCCTCTTCGACCCATGCACTGTTGGTCCCACATGGGCAGGTGGAGCCTCTGTTACTGCTCACTCAGAGCTTCAGTGCTGTCTCTCCTGAGGAATTTCCATTGTCAAGATGCTGGAGAGAATCTAGTGCCAGGTGGGATTCAGAGCAGAGCCCAGAGATGCCACCCTCTGCAGGACTGTGGGTGTGGCACCCTGGATCCCTGCTCCCTGACCTCATGGTAGGAGTCGAGCCCCTCCCATACTTGGCTTGGCCCTGAAGGTCCAGCCCCATCCCTGCCCCCTGCCACACTTCCTATTTTGGTTTGTTTTCAGCTGAGCAAGATCCTGTCTGAAGGATTTTGCATTTAGGCTAAAATCAGCTTCCCGTTTTTATTGTCTTCCTTTAAAAATTCTGTATTTTTTCACTTTACCAGAATGGAATAGAATTAGCTCATCATAAGCTTAACCATCAGTGAAGGTAGAACTGAAAACCGAATGGGAACTTTCCGTAAAAGGAGCAGGAAACAGAGATTTCCTTCCTTGCCTGCTTCCTGAGTTATAGTCCCCTGGACATCTTGAAATGATGGACAAATAACAAAGGAGAAAGTCATGGTGGGTGTCACAGTAACCAGGCTCCAGCCCCAGCCCTCCAAGGTCAATTTCTTTTTTCCCCTTCTTAAACACATTACGTTCCTATCAGCTCTTTGTGAACCTATTTATATCCACGTTGAGGTAGCCATACAACGAAAAACAATCTCTCTTACTCAGTGACCTTTCACTTAAATTCTTGCAAACTAATTCCAATGGTGCCTCTTTTGCCCCTACTACTTATCTTAAAATTCATTTCTTGAGTCTTTATCTTTATCACAAACTGAGAAGCTATTTAATGCTACAATATTAATTTTTTTTTTTTAGAAAACAAGGATGTAATTGGGTCATAATTGCTCAGTGATTCTCTATTTTAAGCTTCGTTTTGACCTGAAGGCAAGTTGCATGTTTATTTATATACACAAAGGATTAAGGAGATTTTGTAGTTGTCCTAACAGAAATACTTCAGTGCTGTATTTTTTTGTGTTTGTATATTATAAACGTAACATATAACCACCTCACCAAATGGCTTAGATGCCATTCTCTTTAGGAACACTGAAACTATGTTGTCTTTTCTAAGTTTCTTGATGGATGTAGACTAATGGTATTCAAAAAGGGTCAGATAGGTTCAGCGAGTTGTTAGGGCCAGAGCCTGGGAGCTGGAGCCCCAGGAGGCTAGGCTCAGCCCCCCATCCTCAACAGGACAAATCAATAAATGATAGTGAAGGGCCCAGAGATGGCTCCGTCAGCAGAGTGCCTGGGTAGAGACTTGAGTTCAGATCCCCTGCACCCACATTAAAGCCAAGCATAGCATCATATGTCTAATCCCAGCCTCAGGGAAGTGGAGCTGGACAAACAGATCCCTGGAGCTCATGGGCCAGGCAACCTCTCCTAATAGACAAGCTCCAGGTTCTCAAACATAAAGTGGACAGTGACTGGCAAAGACCTCCGTCATTGGCCTCTGGCTTCCACATGCACAAATAGACACATGTGCATGAGCTCATGCATGTACCCACACACACACACATAAACACACACACACACACACACACACACACACACACACACACAGACTCATGCATACACATGCATTCTCATAGTAGTAATGAAAAGCAGAAAGAGATTTGTTTAATGTAATCCCATTGGAAAAATGAATGAAGCGGTCCAATGACACACCCCCACTCCCACACGCTAGTCCATCTTCAGGGTCCTGACATGAAGTTTAGGTTTAAATGTAGAGGAAGAGGTGTGCGTACATACAGAAGCAGTCATCCTGGTCAAGGCGTAGCCCTGCCCTTCAGCATTGTCTCAGCCCCAATCGCTCCACCATGGTGCTCAGACACATTGTCCAGACTGTGTGAAATATCTTCCGGGAGACAAGTCCCGCCTCTGGCTGTGCCAGGATTCGACCTTTTCCTTTTCCCAACATGAGGGCCGTGGGAAGATTCCAGTTTCTTGGAGACCATTGTTTCCATAGTCTGGTAGCTGGAGGGAGGTGTGTCTGTGTTTCTTTAGAGTACCCTGCTCCCTGCCCCTTCACCTATAGTAACATCATAGTTTCTGTTTTGTGGTGACCATCTCAAATTTCTGAAAGGATTCTGTAGGACACTAAGAAACAGTGGGACAAGAGCAAAGATTGTGACGTCAGGCTGGAAACCCCACTCCTCTTAGGCCTCTATAGGCCATGTAGCTGGTTCTTGCCTAGAGGTTGGTCTCGCTATACTCACCCGGCTCCAGTGACATTAGTGTCGTGTGGTTCTTTTCCCCAAAGGCTTGTGAGGGAAGGATGAAAGGAAGGACCACATAGTACATGGTCATCCGATACATTGAATATACAAACGCTCGTGGATATACACACGCTCGTTTTGTTGAGTGCTCGTTAGGAGCCAACGGAGCAAAGCTTCCTAGGGCTCCTGAGACAGGGAACCTGTGCTGGTCCACAGTGATCAGCCACTTGCCACATCCACCAGAGACTCCCCACGGCCTAGCCTGCTGTCCCTGCAACCACGTGGATACCCGCAGCCAGACGGTGGGCCTCGCCGAGGGTGTCCGCCTCACCCACAGGAGCACCACCCCACAGGCCTCATGCTCTCTACAGTCCCCACCTTCCGCTCATCTTCAGGAACATCACCCTGCAGACAGGATGCCAGTTTGGGAGAGTAAAACCCATATGTGATGAGAGACTCTTGGGGAGGCTGAGTGCTGCTTCTCCTCCATGCTTTTCCTTAGCAAGT